TTAGGTTAGGTTTTTCTAATTTGCTAGAGCTTAACTTCTTCGTTCTTTGCTCTAGATGGTCAGACCTTGGTGTTAGTTCTTGATTGTAGCACTAGGTGAACATAATCTTTAAACACATCATTCCATATGCTTGAAACAAAACCTTTCTTCAGTACGTGTTCAGGGGAAATCTGGAAACAAAGGTACGGTTCCTAAGCAAGGATTCATGGGGAAGGAGCAGGAGTGCCATAGAAGCTGCAATGCCACTGCCTGCAACAAAAGACTGAAGTTTCCAGGCCACTGCCATGGGTTTAGCAGGTTCTTTTAGTCCATGGGTATTAAAAATTAATGACTACTAATAGAAGATTAAACACTTAATGGGGAACTTTGTAGTTTTATAAGGTTTTTGCCATTGGATTACCAATTTATAGTCACCATAGTTATGCATTCATTAGTTGTTGTCATGGATTTACAAGGTTGCTCGAGTCCATCCATTTTAAGTTTACATGGTTATATGATTATGTTATTGTTTCGGAAAGTTAAACCTGGAGTACTTACATTACATGGACCTACTGATGTTAAACCTGGAGTATTTACAACAGTACCACTTCATCATCACAGCACCCTTATGGCAGTGGGAGCTCCCACTGGCAACAGCTCCGTTTCAGACACCACAGCCTCATCGTCGCCCACGTTCAATGTGAGTTTCTAACCCTTCCTGGTTCCTTCAGTTGCTTCTGTGTTTTGGATGTTCTCTTGGATTTACTTCTGTGGAAGGGGTCTTCATATTCATGCTTCTGTGGATTTGCATTTGTGTTTTCCCTATAGTTTTTTTTTGTTTGGATTTTTTATATGTGTCATCGGATTATCTATTCGATGAAAGGGAGCTGTTTTGAGAGTCTCCTTGCATACACCATCATGACAATTTGTTCTCAAACTTTTCTATGCCTTACAGTATACAACGACTAATGTTTTTTTTTACCTTCATCTTCTTTTTTATCTCTGTTTTGCAGGCAGCTTCTCTAGAGCAAGGGCTGAGATACGCTCCATTGCTTGTGAAGAATATATTTCTGGCTGAGATACGCTCTTGGAGTGTTATCTGATTATCTGGACATGCTTCTTTATCCTTTCTTTCATTCTTGTCGGATCCTTTCAGGGAACAAGTAGGTATGTTGTTTGATCTCTCTGGGGTTTGGTTGTCCAATCAATTAATGCTCAAGTCAAAGGCACATCCTTTAGCTATCATCTATACGATAGCTGGCTAGTTTCTCCCTCCGCGTTGGCTAGAGAGTCTTGTTATGGGAAGTCTTACTAGTTTCTCCCTCTGGCCATTAAAAGTGTGCCATGAAACTTTCTTTTTATTTGAACTGATCACTACTGAGATGCAGCAAAATGACTCCAGTTCTAGTGCACCAGACCCTGCTGCCGAGGCTTTCCTTGCCAGCACACTACGTTACATTCAGTTCCAGAAACAGAAAGGCGGTACAATTGGCGAAAGATACCCTAAGTTAGCTGCTTATATATTGTCTTGAAAAAGATTATCAGGCAGTAGTCACCTTAAGTTAGCTGGTTATTACCTTATGTTAGTAAAATGGTATTGTTTTCATGAATGTGATTGTCATCCTGTTGGTGGAGCATAAACATGGGAGCCTACTGATTTTGGTTTATTTGTGTATCTGTTTTGTAGTAAAAGCAGTAGGATCTCAAGAGGAGCTTCATGATTTAATGGTGAATCATGAACCGAGATGATCAATCATGAAGCATGGGAACTTAGAAATCTGTAATTCCACTGATTAGTATCGGCAGCAACATCTCTGCATGTGGAGGTGACTCTAACAGGTGAGTAATGGATTTGTTTTTCCTCGGATTGGTATGCTATTTACTTGGTGAGACCCATGGATTTGTGATTGTCGAAAATGGTTTTGTTCAATGAAAGTCTTGAACCAACCAGAAGATTAAAGGATTCAATTCCTTTTCCCTTTTTACTTCTTTTTCTAGATAATAAATCTTGATAATTTTATAAATAGTATTTGGTTGAAAACAAATCCCCGGTTGGGCCATCCGAAGCCGGCGATGATTAGGGCTAAGGAATGCACAGAGCAAGACCCTAGGTTGTGCAATTGATTTTGGTCTCTGTTGGAGGAAACTTTGCCTTCTGTGGGTTCTGGTTTTGATTCCTTTTCGTAATGTAAATTTGTATTATCAAGTTACTAATTAGTACTTGAATTTTGCCTCAGCAGCTGCTCAAGGAGTACAAAGGCAAGCTAGCCAAAGTTGCAGGAAGCAACAGTCCTCCAAGGCAGTTCTACGTTTATGCCCTCTATGGCTTCGTCCGAGCTCAGGTATTCTAGCTCCTCGTTTCATATTGATAGGGTATCTGCTTATTTGTATGCTATCTAAGGTAGTTTTGTTGAAGGTTGTTAGCTCTTAAAGAATCTAGGTCTTTCAGGCTGATAATCTAGGGTTAGGAAACCAGATTATTGTAAAGATATGGGGGAATGAAATTGTGGTTCCAAAGAGCTTGAAACTGGGAGGACTGTTGCTTTGAAGAAGGTTCGTTTTGACTCTTGTTTACTTCTCATCTACCCTGCAGCATATACCTAGTGTTTGAATATATGGAGCATGACATTGCTGGACTGCTTTCTTGCCCGGATGTCAGATTTGCCAAGTCACAGGTTAGTTCCCATTTTATGTCATTGGTGAAGAAGCTTTTGAATTTTGAAGTTCTAGCATATGTATTAATGTTGTTTGTTATGTTTTTATTCTCCCCTCTGCAGATCAAGTGTTCCAAAGGTGGAATGGCAAATCAAAGATACGTGAAGTAGTTAGTGTGGCCTTTAGGTCCTCTTTTTATTTTTTGAAATAGTAGGCCGATTCTTAGTGATAATTTGGTGTAATTGTGATTTTGGTTACTAAACAATAAATTGTGAACTATAATTTTAGTTGGTAAACAATTTTGTTATATGAAATAATTTTTTATTATAATTCTATTAAATTTTAATATTTTTATTTTAGTGACCCAAATCTCATCTACCAAATTGGTCATATGAAATGAATTTTTTGGTCGGCGTATGTATTTTCCGCAACCAATTCTTATGGTAGCATTTAACTTTTATAACCATAAGAATTAGTCGTAAAGGGTATGGTTGGTCACCATTCATATATTTTACGACCAATTATTATGGTTGTGTTAAATTTTTAGAACTAATAAAATTAGTTACCTAAAATAATATGATTGGTCGTCATATGGATTTTTAACGACCAAATTTTATGGTTGCATAACAATTCAATAACTATAATGATTAGTTGCCAAAAATTATATGAGTGGTCGACATATGTATTTTTGAAAACCAATTTTTAAGGTTGCGTTAAACTTTCATAACCAATTCCATTGGTCACCAAAATGGTTTAATTGGTTGAGATATGTGTTTTTCACGACCAATTGTTATGGTTGTGTTAAACTTTTATAACAAATATAATTAGTCGTCTAAAATAATATAATTGGTCGAGATATGTGTTTTTCACGACCAAATTTCATGGTTGTGTTAAATTTTCGTAACTTAAACAATTGGTTGTTGTAATGATATAATTGGTTGACATATGTTAATTTCCCAACCAAATTGAATGGTCACCTATAAAACGTACATAAATTCTATTTGCGACCAAAAAAATAGGTTACTAATAGCCACATCAAATTGGTTGTCATTTTTATTTTTCGCGACCAATCAATTATATTTCCCAACCATTAAGTTGAACTATGACAACCAAATTAAAATGGTTGCGAAAAAGTAAGGGTTTTTTACCATTGGCGAATTTGGTTGCGAAAGCTTTCTTTTTTGCTACCAATCCACATTTTGGTTGCGCTAGGAATTAGTAACGCGGCTATAGCGACCAATGCTGCTACCAAAATATTTTAGTCGCAAAAAGCTATTTATAACCAATTTTTGACCTTTAGGAACCAATTTTTTTGGTTGCAAAAAGCCATTTTTCTTGTAGTGTATTGTCGAACTTTCCATTAATTATCACCAAATTCATCATTATCTTTGACAAACAAGTCACCTCATAATTTCATTTTTAATGCATTACTTATAACTACGTATAAAATGGACAAATTGACGTACATTGTAACATTTTTTTACCAATTCTATGCAAAAAATATCTATCTTACAAACAGAATTAGTACATAATCAAAATTAAGGATATAAATGTACCTCTCGAATACACATTTTCAAATTCAGTCCATCTCAGAAATTAAGTTATAGTAGTTTATAAATAGTTTTAGGTGGATCACAGGACTCAATTTGTTTGGTGGATCCAATCGAAGAGGAAAGGACTTTTTAGAAGTGGACTTCCATAGTTTCATTCCAACTTCGCTAGCCAGCCATAAGAGCAGAACCATTGGACTGAAGGAGAATTGTTGTAAGCGGTTGCTATCATGGTTAAAAGGGCTTTCTTGCGAACTATCCATTGGGCTTTTGGCCCATAAATATGACAGGCCTTACAGAATTCGGCCCACAAGAGTACTGTTTCTTTGGTTTTGAAGTTCAAATTTGAGTGTCAATAAAGTTGCTGTATGAAGGACAAGTTCTAATAGTGAAGTGCTAATTAAACTGATCTCTTAGTACAATAATGCACAAAATGAGAGGAAAATAAAAAGGAGAATATATACTCAAATATTTAAGAACTCATGCATGGACAAAGTGTATTAATCAAAAGTACATTACTAAGTAAGAACATATATATAGCTAATTGTTCCAATTAAGCAAATCTCTATCAATAAAGTAACAAAACAAGGAATGAAAACCAACATAATTAAAAACATAAAATATCTGAATGAAAATTACACCAACTGCATGAAAAGTTTCTCTATATAACCCCAGTTGGCTACCTCCCCACTTTACTTATCCCATTCTCTCTTCCCCCATTATCTCTCCTCAAAGGAAGAAAAGAAAACCCTCTTCTCTCATTCTCATTTCCCTTCTTCTTCCTCCTCTCTTTCGCTCATAGAAGAAAAAGAAGAGATGGAGAAAAAGGGATGCAGCTCGTTGGAGGCAGAAGTGAGGAAAGGGCCATGGACAATGGAGGAGGACTTGATACTCATCAACTACATAGCCAACCATGGCGAAGGTGTCTGGAACTCCCTTGCTAAAGCCGCTGGTACGACTGTAACCGATTTCATAATTACTTTCTCTCTTTTTAATTCATGGGACATATAATGGTTTTCTGGTATCTGATACGTTTCTGTTGCTGTATGTATATGTAGGGCTGAAGAGGACGGGGAAGAGTTGCAGGCTGAGGTGGCTCAACTACTTGCGGCCGGACGTGAGGCGAGGGAATATCACCCCTGAAGAACAGATCTTGATCATGGAGCTTCATTCCAAGTGGGGGAACAGGTAATATTATTGATTTCCTTCTTCTTCTTTGCTTGCTGGTTTTGGGTTCTCTTTGCTGTGATAGATAGATATTCTTTGGTGCTCATTGATCTATCCGTACGTAGATATTTTGGAAACGGAGAGTTGAAGTATAGTTGGAGCTTGACTCTAATTAACGTGGTGGCGTAGGGTTTCTTTTCATCCCACGTTCTTGTCAGCCGCAAATAGCTATGCATGGATGATGATGATCTCTTCTATATATGGATTTCACCACGTTTTAGTTTAGGGTTTTTGTGATTGATAGATATTTTTGTGGTAGCTAGCGGTGGTGCTGCCATGATCGATCTATAGAATATCCTCCACGTACGATCGGGGAAAATATCTCCCCTGGAGAATCATCGACAACTGCAACTAGGGTTTCTTAGAGAAAGAGGGAGGGAGATTGCTAGGGTTAGATATTTCTCCACGAGCGATGATGAGAGTAATGGGTAGATGGAGATATTTTCACTCTTTAATGGAACGTGCTTGGTGTGCTGCTCATATATATCCATACAGCTGCGATGAAGGATCCAGAACCTAGCTAGCTAGCTCCTTCTTTCTTGAGAGAGAGTGGTTTGGATTCATAACCCAGCTCCTTCTCTCTCTAAATTAAACAGATCTCTTCCCTTCTTCTTCTTCTTCTTCTTCTTCTTCTCTCTCTCTCTCTCTCTCTCTCTCTCTCTCTCTCTCTCTCTCTCTCTCTTCATCTGCTGCTTCTTCTTCTTAAAGCTTGTTCTTGGGCTGGGTTTTGGTTCTCATCTAGCTTAGCTAGCTAGGGTTAGGTTTTCTCTGAAGCAGCTGGCGGTGACAAAGGATTTGGTGTGGCGTTAATTATTTGACAGCTACAGTTCGTAACTAACGTTTTAGTATACTTGCTTTACTTTGGCGTTTTGTGATGATCGGGAGCGATAATATTGTCTTTTGGTGCTGTTATTGTCATTATATAATTATCATGATTATTAGTACAACATATGATGAGAAGTTTGTAATCATGATGAGTGGAGGAGACGACGGAAGATAATGATGATAAAAGCTTTGGTTGTTTCCATGGAGATTAGGGCACATGTTAAGTTTCCTTTTTTAGTGAAAAACCAGCACGGAGTTAGGTTTTCGGCTTTTGGCCCTTTGATGCCGACTTTTAATCCTTTCTCTGTCATCATGGAGTTCGGTTTTAATTAAGTCGGTTTTCGATTGTCTCTCGTCGGACGACGAGCTAGCTGGTTGCCGGCGGCAGGCAGAGATCTCTGTTCAACTTTCTTCATGTGCATGCATGTAACAGGGCTGCTTAATTGCCGACTATTCTTTTATTCTACTTCTCTTCTCGATCGTTATTTATTATGGCATTCAAAGTTGGACGACATTAGAATATGCAACTGTCTGTGTACTTCTTCCAACAAATTATAGTCATCCATTTCTGCCCACAGAACATGCAAATTAGAACCACTCCATTTCCCACCACCTTTCTCTTCTTCATTATAATTTATCATTATCACCATACCGTATAATAACTTTATTATTAATCAAACGTAAATATACATGCATGGATCGTGATCAGGTGGTCGAAGATAGCGAAGCATCTGCCAGGAAGGACGGACAACGAGATCAAGAACTACTGGCGTACGAGGATTCAGAAGCACCTCAAGCAGGCCGATCAGCGGTTTCCGGCGGGTCAGCAGCAGCCGGGAATCGGGTCGGACCACCCCCATTGCATGAACATGGGCAGCTCGAGCCAAGTCTCTGCTGACACCATGGAGATGGATTACTCGCCGCCTGCTTACCACCACCACCCTCTTGAGGCCTTCCCGGCCGGAGTGGGTGCCACCATGACCATGGCCGTTGGCGGGTCGAGCAGTTCCACGGCGAACATGCCGCCACCGCCGCCGCCTGAGTCGGCTGAAGGAGGGTACTGGAGCATGGAGGAGCTTTGGTCCATGCAGCTGCTCAATGGAGAATGATATAATATTAATAATTAAACAAAAGTTGATGAGACTTTCAAGGTGAAACGATGCCGTTTTGGAGGGTCTTGCATTATTGTCTAGGGTTTGTCTATAGGGTTTGAAGCTCCTAGTGTTTTTTTTTTCTCATATAAGAATATCGGTATCATATATAGTATAGATTGTATAATATATATACATATAAATTATGCATGAACATGGGCGGGTCTGTAAGATATGTTGTATTTTATGTAATGCGATCAATATATAGTTATATCTAGTACTTGGTGTGTATATAGTGGAGAAATGAGATTTGAAAGGGGTGATTTAATCTATATATCACCTCTTTTTTTTAGTATATATGAATTCTCGTTTTATTATGAAAATTACGATAAACGTTTTCATCCTCACGTAACTAGATGAATGCTCTCCATGCAAAATAAAATTATATTAAATATATTGGTAATTACAAAACTTGGTGTTTATTATATGGCTGGCCATTCATCCATGTATTTACCAAACCCAACCAATGGGAAGTCGATACGTATAGGGGAGGCAGCTGTGTAGAAAATCTATTCTTAGCACATTTCATCTTTGGCTTTTTGATAAATGGTGTAAATATATACATTTCCATGCCAAATCAAACCCTAGCATCAGCCTAAACTCTTGCGTACTTTGCAAGCAAATAAGTCCTCCCATGTGCCTTGCTCCCTCCTCCTCTCAGATTCTTTCATCAACTTATAATTCACACATACAAAGACTCATTTTATACTATCATTCTGTTCAAGTTATAAGAGTAATACGTACTTCTCAATTTTGGCTTTACATCTCTATCTCTTGATAATAATGATTGATCTCGTAGATGTATATACAATTTGGTTACAATATACAAGTATGATACGTAAATTTCTGATTTGTTACATAATAAAATACGATATCAACATAGTAGGTGGACAACTAATCGTACTATAATGTAAACACGTTACTTGATTACAAGCTTGAGCTTCATGGTAGAGGAGATCAGAGCTTGTGATGATGAGTACCCTTAATCCATATCGATCCCTTATAGCTTGATCTCCTCACAAAAAAGCTTAAACATAATGTGTCTAACTACTTAAGATCAACCCTCTTAACCTCCTCTATATATAAAGGAACAAGATGACGAGATGAAAGAGAAAGATGAAAGAGTAATGGAGTGCTAGCTAGCACCCAAGTCAAGTGACGACACATGATAATGGCAAGGCATTTACCATGTACAAATCACGTAACTTTCTTTGATAATTCCTCTCAAAGCACTTGTTATAAGCTGGAAAAGAGAGGAGAGAAAGGAGCTTTGGGGAATAGATCCAACACACAATTGGTTGGGCTGTTTCCAGTGGCTTATATAGGAAAAAAGAGAAGTTTACGAAGCCAAATTCCCAACCTCTCCTGTTCTCCCCATGTCGATGAATTCAGTCACATGTTTTATATGTCGAAATTCGCTTGACAAGTTAGGTCCAGTCTTTCACCATTCACGTGAAAGTGAGAGAGTCCAAAAGACAGGAAAAAAAGCACGTGGTGGTCGGCCATGAGATTAATATTTCATGTACTTCTACTGCATGCACATGCGTGCACTCCAGAAACAGAAGCAGTTCCATCAAAGCCATTTACAACGTAATAAGGTTTATTGAAGGGTTGAGATCGATTCAACGTATATATAGAGAGGTGATAGCTAGTCAGCAGCATGGCTTAGAGCTTCTAAGTTTTAAACGTTCAATATAATTCTCACACGTTTAATTTGGAACGTGCGATATAGCCATAGCCATGTAGTGGTATATAGTACGATATAAAACGATAATATTATCCTTTATGTTGCTTGAAACTATTTTGTGGGGATTTTTGACATGTGAATTACATTGTGTAAGGCAGACCAATTAGGACACGTTTCCCGTTTTAGCAAAAACACATGCAACTCACCTTTTTAAGAGGCACGTAAGTGAAAACGATCGATCGATGTAGTGGTCTACTCTTTTGTTTCGGAGGGTATCATCATACCATCTCACTTTATTGATTTCACGCGTTTATCTCGATCTCAATTACCTTCTTTCCCTGTTTTTTCCCCTTTGTTTATTAAAAAATTATTGGTTCATACGATAGTGACTCCACCAAACTTTCTGTATGTTTGATAACCATATTCAAATATTTGTATGATTTATGATACGTAAGTCAAATAATAATTGTTCATGCGAGTAGCTAGTCAAAAGATACTTAGTTTGGCAGAAAAAACTATCCATACGAAGTTCATGAATCAAATAATAATTTTTTTTTATCATTTCTCTATTATTAACCACCATAAACATTACTAATCTTATTCAAATTCTCGATTTTTGTAATAACAAATATAGCCGAGCTATTTGTGGAATGTATCCAAACTTTAACCTATATCTCCTTTGTTCACTTCTTAATTATCCTCCTCCACTTCCATTATTCCGCTTGAAATACATGTGCTTTATTATCTTATAATAGCTATGTTTAATTTCGAAGGCTAACATGTCACTCATTTATTCAGTCATCAGAAGTGAACATGCAAAAGGGTTTAGTACTACACGCATTCTACTTGGATGTTGCACACTCTCTTTAAGTGAAAGAAATGGACCATCGACTGTCGAAAGAAATTTGCAACCACATGTTTGAATTGAGTCACGTGTTTTATGTGCTGAAATTTCAAAATGTTAGATTGGATGAATGAATGGCCACACTATGCATGTGGAAGTAAGAAGGTGAGGAAAAAACATGTGTTGCGGTTGGCCATGTGGTAAAAAGATATAGCTCATGAGTGCATTCATGTTGTTGTTAAGCACAACGTGCTGAAATTGTAGAAGTAGCAGTACTAGTCTTTTCAGATTGTACTATCAGAAAATTGTCTGAGTTCTAGTTTGAGAATCGTCATTATTTAGTGATTTTTTTTTTTGTATATATGAAAAGTATATGTTAAGATTGTTGAATGAATGAATTAATCAAATATAAAAAACAAAAATGACATTATTAGAGTCTTCAAAATATATACCGTCGTCTATAAATTATATTTCAAGACGTGTTTGGAATCTCAATTAACTGTCAAACTCAATATTCTACTTGACAAAATCTACAAAAAACTGAATGGTATTTTGCTTAATGATTTAGGTTACGAGTGAATTTTCAAAAGAAGCACTGAGATCAGTTATACATATTCTAGTTAAGGGGCAACCTTCACAATCCAAATAAAAAAAGAGAGTCAATCTAATAGACTATGCTTCACAAGGACAAATTAGTGTTGGACCTCGAAGAGTTGACTATATCTTCTTTCATCTTGGTTAGTTAGGTTGTTAGTTAAGAGAGTTGATCTATTCTCCTTCCCAATATGTGCCATGATCCCTTATAAAAAAAATGTGTGTCGTGATTGTTTGGAGACTTTTTTTGTATTTTGTGATCACAATTTCTTTTGTAGGAGATTATGATCGCCCCTTCATTCAGAGGAAATTGAATGGAAAATTATATTTTTTCTTCTTCTTGCTTTTTCCCATGGCTTGGAGGAAGCTGCAGTCATTTTTTTCCTGATTAGCCTCCCCTACTGAAATGAAGAACGTTTGATTGATAAATAACTCATCTTTTGGTCTTCCACTCTTTCAACATCACGAAGACTTTCGAACCGTGCAATGACTAAAACCAGTGTGTATATTTATTATCATGGTTCGAAAAAAGTGCGGTTAGGCACTCTTCTAAGCTCACCTAGGCACTCTCCTAAGCTCGCATATAGACGCAAGTCAGAAGGAAAACACATTGCATTGGTAAAAAGCGGCGGAGAAGGGTCACGATCTCGTTGTGGCCTGGTGACGCATAGTAAGCATTGAGTTGCACCTCAAGATGATGTCACGATGTCTTTTTCTACCTTTTGATATGATGCTAGGGAGGACGATCTTGATTTTTCTATATTTAGGCTAGGATATAGTTAGAGATCTTTAGACTAGCTTCGTTTATCTTTTTTGTGCTTCTTCACTCTTTCCCAACTACTTCTTTTTTACTCATTTCTCCACACTATGTTTTATGTTTTACAATGAGTTGTTGATGAAAGTTTAGAAATGAGAGCTAGATGCGATGATATTGGTACATACCCTTGTGATTTCTAGGCAAGTGTGAAATATTTAATTTTTCTGCATTTACATCTAACGCTTAGGCATGTCTAGGCGATGCCAAAACATGCTAGGCGCAAGGCAGAGGCTCAACTCTCTCGCCTTACGCCTAGGGCTTTCTTGAACCTTGATATTTTTGAAGTTGTTCTATATTATATATTATCTAAGATATCACTTACAAAGGTTGACTTAACTTAGACTAGTTGGTTAGTTTCATGATCCATCATATACAAATTTTGTTAGTCTCGTTTTCATATTTGTTTTAAACATCACTAATTAATATGAAATATTATTTTAATATTTTATTGATCTCAACATTCAAACTCAGGATGTAATTTATCTTATCCTTTCGTAGAATATATGGCTTATCCAATATTATTGATAGTTGGCTCATAAACTTATCTCAAACTTTCCTTTTTGCTCTTGCCATGCTTGTAAATCTCTAAACTCATAAGAGTAGTTGCAATAAAACGGTGCCATGCATGCATGGATCTCATGAATAAATAAAATCAGTTGAAAGAAAACCAAAGAGATAAAATTCCACAAATTTCCATTTCCACAATTATTTGTTTATGGAGTGGATATATATTTGAAGGGCGATTTTCGCTTAGCCGATTCTATGTGGTGGAGAGATGTCATAAGCCTCATCCACAAATCGATCCCTCTTTCTCTCCCTCCCTTGTGGCCTTATCTACTCCAAACAAACTCAAACCACTCCCCAGCCCATACAAACAACATCCAAACCCAAGTATCCAACACAAACTAACTCACCAACGAATGCATATTTCATTATCTTGTCTTCATCGTATCAATTATGCAGACAGCAACAAAAATGAAGAGATATATAACCCCACAAAACAAAAATTGCAAGTAAATTCCATATGTTGAATGGCGGAGTTACATGTAGTTCATATTGGGTTGTAATCTCTCTCAATATTGGATTTTTTGTTATAATCTGTACATCATACGAGAAACAAACATTTATAACTGGCAGGATAGAGTTATCGGCTCTCATTATAAACCCCACCTTCGCCACTACATATGGTTAGTAGTTAGTGGGAGGCAAAGCCATAAATCTGAACGAGAAGGGCTGACTTGAATTGTGGTAACTAAGTGAGGGGGCTCAAGTCTTACCAGTATTCTAGTTCCTAAGTTTTACCTATATTTCAAAGTTATACCCTATAGCTTCAATCTAACTCCACCATTGTTAGTAGTGATGTGAAGTCAGTGACGGAGTTAGTATTTCAAACCACTCTGACATCTTTTTATCATATAAATATTTAAATATTTAATTAAAAATTATTAAGTAAAAAAAATTAAAATTAATTATATATGCATAATTCATTCATAGATTAAAAATAACCGACTATAAAATCATTGTTTTTAACAACCACGGAGAGATTTCATATTGTGAAAGAAACGCAAAAACATTCGTCGTCTATACTATTAAATAAGTCTTTTTCAATGTATCTCACTAAATTAGCATTAGCAAATTGGTCGCCAAATCGACTTGGAAACTTGTTGTTAATATAACTCAAAGCTGAAAATTCTCTTTTTACATCTGCAGTTGTAATTCGTAGAATCAAAACTAGTGGAATTGTCGCTGTCGCTAGACAATTTCAGGGTTGTTGGGAAAAAATCGAATAGGCATAAGGAGAAAAGAGATCCGATTAGGTCTTTATTGCAATTAGAATTCGTTTATAGTATTATAAATTAATTTTATGTCAATTTATGAATAAGTAATGAGTTGTGTTGTAGTGACAAAAATACTCTAATACTACCTATAAGCGTTGTTTTGCATCACCAATATACATATATATATGACATATTTTTGTTCCTCTAAAATTTACCCCTGTCCCGGGACAAGACCCAATGGGCCTCCCTCCGCCTATGTGTGAAGTCGTACTCTTTTCACTCTAAATTTTATGAACGTGGTTGTTGATTATGTACTTTGAATTTTATGTGCATATATAATATTTATGACCACTAATTTAGGCATGCAAATTATATGGTATGGCTACAAATTATTTGTTAACCATTTACAACAATAATCTATGCACGAACTCAAAACCTATACCTAGCTAGGTCCCCTAAATAACATAAGCAAAAAACAATATACATCATAGTTAGAAATGAGCATATTTTCATCATCGCAAGTTCGCAACTATTAACTTTTGCATGTGATTATCATCGATGACCTATGTACTCATAAGTTATCCTTTTACGGATGTCTAATAAAATTGAATTAAGATTTTTCTAGTAATCCTTTCCACTACTCAAATTATTGAGATGAGTTCTTATCATGCATGGTATTGTAATTGTAATAACCAACACTCTTAATAATTGAATTAAATATAAAAGTGGCGATTACCACATACAAATTTCATACTAAACATTAAACTCTAATGAGAATATATAAATCCATCAATATCTTAAGAGGGGTAACACACTTATAAAAAAGAAAACCTGTTTTTCTAATGGTATTTTTTTTAACGTTATCATGATTCTCATTCTCATCATCATCGGCCATCGTTCCTCCAACTTGGCAGCCACCCTACTCTCCTCTTCATATCATCATCACGTTTCCCAACGAAACCTTGTCACCGACGTGGCTGAATCTCACTGGTTGGTCTGCAACATGGGTTGACCCCATTACGGCATCTGAACCATCATGAACCTTCGGATCACAGTCCGTGGGTCCGACCCGACCATCTTGTCATAATCAGACGGCGGAGGGGTTGGTTGGTTGGGTTTCTTGTGTTGCTCTGTTTGACTACAACGCAAACTAAGCTCAGAACTAAGTACGCAAGGACCGACCCTCTAGCCGGACGGAACGGATGGGTAACGCCATCATAACGTGGTTGAAATTTCCAATATAGTTCCTGAACTTGTCGTCAGTTGTTGAGCTGGTGCACAATATTTTTTCTTATGCTCAACATGGTCCTTGACATATTTACTAGGCATGATTCGTTCAAATGGCCTAGCGTGACCTTGAAATTATACTACGCACCAATACCATGATGTGGTGTGTACCATATTAACTAGCTTTGATACATCAAGTTATACTCCAAGCAGTGGTGGATACATGTAGCTTTAGGGGTGTCCCGGGACACCCCTAAAATTTGAGAGAACGATTATTCAACTCCCATTAGTAGTTTCGTATGGATAAACAAATATAATTGATAATTCGGGACACCTCTAAAATTTGAAAAAAACGATTATCATACCTTTGGTAGTAGTTTGTCTATTAAAAAAAATATATGCGGTAGTATGTGTTATTCAAACCTAGGACACTTATTATTAAACATATTCTCAATGAGGTTGCAACTCATTTGTTGTTTAATTTTAAACACTATATATATATGTAATATAAACAATGCTATACGGGCAAGTGTTAATTGTAAATATATTTCCAACTATTTCAAAACCTAATAATTAAACTAATTATAGGCTACCCTCAAATTTGAATTGATTTTTTGGATACAAGGCAAGTGATGAAAGAGTATTTTCAACTTTGAGTTACATTAAGAATAAGGTTAGAAATCAAATATGCGATCAGTTTGTGAATTATTGTCTAGTAGCAGATTTGTTGAGCAGTGTAGAGAACGGAGTCTATTTTATATTCTTTTTTTAGAATATAAAAACACGTTGTAATCTTTTGTGAAAATTTGTACTAGACGAGTATTTTCTAATTTATGAATTATTTAATTAAATTATTTAATTTAATTAAATTTTTGGAAAAGGACACCCTGTAAAAAATTTCTGGATCTGCCACTGACTCCAACTAGAGTTAGTATTACCCAACATCTGGCGCATGTAAATCATACGTAGACTAGTATTACTCTAATACATACAATGGACAAGTATGATTTTTTTTTTGTAGTTGTATGGCGTTTATACATGAATATTAGAATGACCTAGCTAGCCAACATGACCTACTAGCTATGGCCTTAGCTACAAGGTCTATCAAGCCTAGGCCTATCACACTCAAAATTTATAAGTTTGTATTGTTACTATTAAGTGGAAAAAATAGTTATAATAGGATAAGCTTGTTGAGAATGATTTTGTCCATTAGTTAAATGTTGTGATCATCCCTTGTAATACACATCGATAGAAAGTTATAGCAAATCAGAATTATTTTTCTCCTTAAAGCTGAGCGCTAAGATGAGGACCAGTTCATTATTGTCTCATTAAGTTATTGTAGAGGATTCATGTAGACGTCAACCATTCTCCACCGTTCACATTAACTTATAATTAGGGCTGTCAATTTGGATAACCAAAACCAAACCAAACCATTAGCATGAAAAGTGAAAACCAAAAACCAAATTAGGCAAATTCACAAAAACCAAAACCAATAAGAGGCTTATCGGTTTTTGGATAACCATAAACCGATAATCTTCTTAATGGTTTCGATAAACCAAAAATAAAAAATATGATTGACTTCAAAGAAATTAAGGATCCTTCAAGAAAATAAGGGTCCTTATCGGTTTATTAATTTTTTATTGATTTTTTTATTTTAACCAAAACCAAAACCATTAATATGCTAAATGATTTAAAACCGAAAAACCAAAACCGTTAACCTTTTAATGGTTCGGTTTCGGTTAAAACCGAAAAAACTAAAACCAAATTGACAGCCCTATATGTAATTTGAAAATGCATATGACATTAACCTTTGAAGGGTTGATTGGCCAATTTAACAAACTTAGTGGCTATAATAGCGAAAAACAAAAGTACAAGGGCTGAATCGGCAAACGAAACATACATGACGTCGAGGGAACGAAGGAAGGATTAACGGACCAAAAGCAAAACAAAATCAAACGTGGTTCATTTTCATTTGACATTTGTGGGAGGCGCGAGAGGGCACTCCCAAAGAAGAGCGGAGAAGGAGAAGAAAAAAGGGAAAATTCGGTTTTGAGGAAGAAGAAGAGAAATTGGCGGAATTTTTATAGATTAGATTAGAATTTAGATAGATAAGATTTGATGGGAAGAGCATTTGTTTACGTGATTCTGGGAGGTGGAGTAGCAGCTGGATATGCAGCTCTCGAATTCACCAGGAAAGGCGTCGCTCCTGGCGAACTCTGCATCATTTCTGAAGAACCTGTAAGTTTTCCCCAAGAATGATGATTCCTGTTTCTTCCTAAAAATGGAGGGCTTTGATTCTCTGAGTTTGCTTTGTTGGGTCGTTTCCTGAGATGGGTAATCAGGATTCTTGTTTTACACGGTGGAAAGTTTGCTTCTTTCAAGCCGTTGAAGGATTTTCACATTTCAGTTTTGTCCGTTATTGCTCGCCAGTATGATTGCATGGAGTAGATAGGTGGCTTTGGATGGGATTGTTGCAGATGAGGTTCATTCGTTGAATTACAGCACAGAAAGAGCATTGCTTTTGATGGAATTTGATTGGGGTTTTCTTGGTTTTGCATAAAGACGGTTCCTTTAAGTTAAGGCAATAAGCCAATGACTACTACTACCCTATGTCTGCAGTTTGTTTATCTCCTGAATCTAGTTTAAGTTTAGGGGCAGTTCGAGGATGAGGAAGCTTAAGGCCGATGTCTAGTCTCGATTTAATGATGAAATGGGAACTTTTCGTTGCATTCATATTGTAGGAATATTGTGGAATGTGATGGGGTCTGATGTCTTTCAAGCCTATGCACTGAGAAACATTGCTGCTGGAATTCCTTCTATTGTAGGTTTTTAAGGTTTCAAATAGCCCTGCATAAATGTGACAAGGTTTACAACTTTCTTTCAGGTTGCACCTTATGAGAGACCTGCTCTGAGCAAGGGTTATTTACTTCCAGAAGGTAAAATGGTTCTTATCGTTTATGTAGAGTCTGTTTTAGGTTTCTCGTAGTTCTCTTCTTACTTGGCCAGAAAGAGTGGTTTTTCCTGTTTCTGTCTATTTTGCCTGTTTGAATTTCACTGGGTAACAGCGAACAAACTTGGAGCTCTACTGGCCCAAAAATTAAGATGAAATAGTTGAGTACCAGGTTATATTAAGAACTTTAAGCCATTGGGTGCTCCTATTGAAGAAGTTGGTTTACTCTGGATTGTTGTTTGTTCTTTTCTTTTGTTACTCCTGGTCACTTGTGCTTGAAGACTGAAAATTTTGATAATATGCAGCTCCCACACGCCTCCCATCGTTCCACACCTGCGTTGGAGCTAATGAAGAGAGGTTGTCTCCAAAATGGTATAAAGAACATGGTAATTTTCCTTGCAGGCAATGATTACTCTGCTAGACAATGTCGTCATCATCTCACTAACTTCGTTTGTTAGGCCTAAGCTTTTCCATTGAAGTGCTATTTATCATGTTACATATAATGTCAAGTTATTTAGATTTAGCTAAGAATGTTTCTCTTGCCTCTTAATTTATCATTTGTGTTCATGCTCTTGCTCATCAGGGATTGAGTTGGTGCTTGGTACTCGAGTTATATCTGCTGATGTCAGGCGCAAAACATTGCTCACTGCTGCAGGGGAGACTATCAGTTTCAAGTTTCTCATCATTGCAACAGGTGCTCGGGTATTGAAACCACTCTTTTTAACCGTTTCAAGTTCAATTTACAGATTACCAAAATATCGATAGATGATTGCAGATAATCACGTTCATGGAGAGTGAAAGACTGATTGTCAGTCCACCAAGAAGTTGGAATTGTATGGGATCACAAAATCTATGGTTTCTCTAAACTTCTTACCGACGTCAATTTCGTGACATGCAGGCTCTGAAGCTGGAAGAATTTGGAGTCACAGGATCGGATGCTCCAAATGTGTGTTACTTACGAAACTTAGCTGATGCAAACAGGCTAGTCGATGTGATCGGATCCCAAACTGGTGGGAATGCTGTAGTGATCGGTGGAGGCTACATAGGAATGGAATGTGCCGCGTCTTTGGTGATCAATAAGATGAACGTGACCATGGTTTTTCCGGAACCACATTGCAGTATGCAACTATGACCTTTCGTAATTTATTTTGGCTGCTCTTTCATCCAATGTCAAGCATCAAATCACAGTCACCATATCTTCTTTCCTTTTCTCAGTGGCAAGGCTGTTTTCGCCCAAGATAGCAGGATATTATGAGGAGTACTATAAATCCAAAGGAGTACAATTCGTCAAAGGCACTGTCTTGTCATCTTTTGATTTTGACTCCGATGGACAAGTAAGAAAAGACCCTGTTTGTTGTAATGCTATTCAGAATTATGTCTTGGATAAGGATTAGTGTTACTTAAGTTTGCAATGAATGGAAGAAAGACTGGCACGTTGCTTGCTATCATCCATCCCTCTATGGCGTAGTGAAGTTAATCCACTATCATATTGCTTGATTTGCTTCTACAGGTTACATCTGTGAACCTAAGAGATGGAACTCAGCTACCAGCAGATGTAGTTGTGGTTGGAATCGGGATACGACCAAACACAAGTCTCTTCGAGGGTCAACTGACTCTCGACAAGGGTGGAATCAAGACGAACGGTAAAATGCAGACAAGCAACGCTTCAGTCTACGCAGTTGGTGATGTGGCAGCATTTCCAGTCAAGCTGTTTGGAGAGACACGGAGGCTGGAGCACGTGGACTCTGCCAGGAAATCAGCGATACACGCTGTTGCCTCGATATTGGATCCCCAGAAAGCAGATGAATTCGACTACCTCCCATTTTTCTACTCCAGGGTCTTCGCCTTCTCCTGGCAGTTCTATGGGGACAATGCAGGGGAAGTGGTCCACTTTGGGGACTTCTCCGGGAGCAGAATCGGGGCCTACTGGGTCAGCAAGGGGCACCTGGTGGGGTCATTCCTCGAAGGTGGAACCAAAGAAGAGTATGATGCTATCGCCCTGGCCACAAAGGTGAAACCAGCAGTTGATGATTTGGCTAAGCTGGAAGAGCTGGGGTTGGAGTTTGCATTAGCAATCAGTGAGGGACCTGTGGAAACTTGTCCCCCATCTGGTGACAATGACGACAATCCCCCTGGATTGGCAGTGGAGAAGCCGACGGTGTATCCTTGGCATGCAGCAGCTGGTGTTGCTGTTGCTGCGTCAGTGGCTGCCTTTGCTTATTGGTACGGGAGAAGGCGTAGGAGGTGGTGAACAATCGGGGAGGAAAGTTGTGTAATCTGTTGAATGGTGTAGGTTACTTGAAATTGAAAACTTGTACCTTGTGTCACAAGTTTCCACTTGTTGTACCAAATCATATAGGAAGTCTTAGGATATGTTGAAAGATACATCTTGATGATGATGAGACTACGATTTGGGGATATACCATTTTCATTCAAGCACCGAAGAGTTGTGTTCTTATCATCAAGCACAAAATTAATGCATCACAAAATTAAAGTGGAGGTCAAAGAACTTGATTAGGTGGTAGGTAAATGTATTGCTAAATTTGTACCAAACTAGAAATGATACATACAGAGGCATGATGGATGAGGATTTCATGTTAAGTGGGAATCAAGTTAGGTTCTATACTTCTAATTGATTGGGCTCTATCTATTTTAATATGTTATTCAACGAAAACTATCAAATATTTTTTTCTTATCCAAAAAATACTATCCAAACAACATAAAGAGATGGTGATTTGAGTAATGATGTTTAATTATTCAAAAGATAGAGATTCATACATGGTTTGAAGTGGGAATTTTACTACAAAAGAGAAGTTATAAAACAAGTACAATATGAGTAAATATTAAGAAAGCCGAGATAAAATTATTTGAAGAAAGTATAGAACTAGGTGAGTCTTCATAAATTAAAATCAAACAAGCAGGGCATTTGGTCTAGTGGTATGATTCTCGCTTTGGGTGCGAGAGGTCCCGAGTTCGATTCTCGGAATGCCCCTTTTTGTTGTATAACTTTTTGACTTTTTCCCATTTATACCCTCTCCAGCCACATACTCTACACAACCAGCTAAGGGCAATGATGTCTTTCCACCCACACTATCATCCATAAACTCCATTCACAGAATCACAGTATCACACTACCAATCTTCCTGTGTCTCTTATCCTCTCCAATCCCTTCCATCTGCTTTCCCCATTTCCCTCAACCTCTGCTTCTTCTCCCCAGAATTCCAACAATGGCGTCGACGGCAGCTTCCCTCTCAATCTCCGCCGCCTCCACCAAGTGCGGAATGGTGGGATTCCACTCAGCTCCTTCCGCCGTAGTTCTCGATTTCCCGCTCCGCAGCTCCCCTTTCCCATCCCTCACCACCACCCGCCGCTCCACCTCCCACGTCCGCCCCATCTCCGCCGTCGCCGCCCCGGAGAAAATCGAGAACCTAGGCGCCGAAATCTCCTCCTTGACCCTCGAGGAGGCGCGAATACTCGTCGACTACCTGCAGGACAAGCTGGGCGTCTCCGCGGCCGCATTCGCCCCCGCAGCCGTGGCCGTCGCGCCAGGGGCCGCCGTCGCCGAGGCTGAGGCGCCTGTGGAGAAGACAGAGTTCGATGTGGTCATCGAGGAGGTGCCCAGCAACGCGAGGATTGCGGTGATCAAGGCGGTTAGGGCGTTGACGAGCTTGGCGTTGAAGGAGGCCAAAGAGCTCATTGAAGGGCTGCCGAAGAAGTTCAAGGAAGGGGCTTCCAAGGAGGAGGCGGAAGAGGCCAAGAAGCAGCTCGAAGAAGCTGGAGCTAAGATTGCCATTGTATGATGGTAATCTAATTTGAAAGTTTAGAACTTTAAAGAAGAAGAAAGGGAAATGCTTTGAATTTGGAATCTGTGTAATTGTAGCATTTCCCGATTTGAGGGTTTTAGGGTCCAAGAGTACAGTAGTTTGTTGTGATTTGTAATGTGGCTTGTTTTTGTCTCTGCAATGTTATGTGAAATTCACAATAACAAATGAACTGCCATTGGGAATGTTGCCAAGTTGTGAATTGAATTGAATTTCTGCAGGCCGGTTCTTGAAATTGCATCAGTCGGTTGCGTTTGTTAAACCATGTATTAGAGCTAAGTTGTTAGTCTCATCTAGAACTAAATCAACAATGCTATAATAAGGTTTAGAAGAAAGTTGCAGTAGTTGGATAAGATTTAAGATGGAGAGATAGAGAGCTATGTGAACTTTGGTATAGTTTTTGCTATGTACTTTACACACAGATAGGAATCTGCAGGTGACCCTTGTGCGAACTATACATTTTCACTGCAACTCCTTTCAAAAAGGTACAAATTTAATCTCACTGAAGAGAAGTATGCTAACTTTTTATCAGAAGCTCAAAAATAGAATGGTAAAGCACAAATTGAATGAAGAACACCATGAAATGGTGGCATCTCGGGTCTAATTGGCCCTTTCAGGCCGACTTCAATGGAGTAAGACTAGGCTTCTAAGCAGATCAATGATGGAGAACAAGTTTCTCTCTCTTTGCTTACTCGCTTGGAATTCTTTGTCATAGCCTGGATCGTGTACATGAAAGTCAAGCTACTGGGTTTATAGCCTACCTTCGACATCCTCTCTTGCAGCTTCATCATATCACCACCTTCTTCGGACAGAACCCTAGCAACTTCATGGTAACTCTCATTGTCGAAGATGCCAACTCCCATAGCAAATGATTCCAACAATGCTTGTGCTTTGCCCACATCCCGTTCTTTGCAGCACCCGAATATCAAAGCTCTGCATATTTCTAAATCCAAAACTATCCCATCTAGAACCATCTCGTCGGCCAAAGATTCAGCTTCTGCACTTCTGCCTGTTCTAGACAAGCTAAAGATGAGAGCTTTGTATGTCTCAACACCCAGTTTCCCTTCCCTACGAAGGATCTCGCATTTCATAAACAATGCATCAACCAAACAATCAACTTTGCAGAGAGAGACAATGAGCTTTTCGTAAACTAGCATGTCGGGTTCATAACCGTCACGAGCCTTCCTTTCCACAAGACTCTTGGCTGCAAATGGTTTTTCTTCTTCACACAGACGAACTACTAAATAATCATAAACATCCCATGAAACCGGAACACCCAGTCTCTCAACCTCCACGGCCAAATTCAGAGCTGAAATCAACCTACCACCTTCTTTCTTCCCATATGCTAGGATCAATACCCGGGAAGTAAAACTATCGGGACAAATCCCATTCCCTATCATCTGATACATCAATGCCTTAGCCTCTTGAACCCTTCCTTCCCTACAGTAACCCGAAATCAGAGTGTTGTAAGCCACTACATCCGGGTTCAACCCCCGGTGAACCATTCTGTGGAAGAACTGATGAGCATCCTTCATCTTCCCTTCTCTACAAAGACCATTCATCAATGAAGTATACGAAACCAAATCTGGCATCACGCCTCTTTTGTACATGATCTTATACAGGTAATAAGCATCAGCCAACTTCCCCTTCCTACAATAACTACTAATCAAAGTGTTATATGTTACGATGTCTGGCTCAAACCCTTCCTCCTCCATTTTCTCAAGGAATTCATTGATTTTACTAACGTCTCCATTCCTGCAGAATGCATGAGTCAAGATATTGAAAGTGAATTCATTTGGGCGGATCCCAGTTCTCCCCATTTCGTCATAAACATCCCAACATTGAGCAGTGAGATTCGATTTCAGAAGTCCATTCAAGAGGCAATTACATGAACTCACAGTGGGAACAAAGCCAGCTTCAATAGCCTTCATAAACGCAATGAAACCTTCTTTCACTCCGCCCAATTTCACATGAGCCTTGACAAGCATATCGAAAACCACAGGGTCCCAATTGCAATCTTCCGAGTGAAGCAGCAAGCTCTGGAAAACATCTTCACCGGATGAAAGCTCTTCAACCGACTGAATCAATTCGTTGAGGAGTTTCATGGCCGGTTTGAACTCCTTGGACCATGCCAAGATGTGGACGATGAGGCAGTAGTTCCGGGGAGTGGGGCTGAGACCCAAATCGTATTTCACCCAATTGAAGAAGGATAGAGCTGAAACTGAATCGGACTGACATCGCAGCAGAACCCTCGAGATTTCGGCGGGACCCAGATGAGGGAGGAGGTGGTTGATCCGGGCTTGGAGAAGACAGAGATCGGCATTGGGTTGTTTGAGAGAGGAAGAGATGATATTGACTATTTCGTTAGGGTTTTGGGTTTGGGGGAGGAAGGTGTAGAGTGGGTTCGCGAGGGATTTGGAGCTTGGCGGAGTAATAAGTAGCAGGGAAGAAGAAGAAGAAGAAGAAGAAGAAGAGGGAATTGGGGTTATGGAAGGTACATCGGAGGAGAAAGGTGCTGCCTTTCTGATGAGTTTTGTTGAAGCTCTATTCATTCGCCGGCTTCAAAGGACGAGAATGAAATCGGACGAGGAGAGAAAGGGAGACCGGACGGGGAGCATCGAGCTTGAATGAGTGTGCCACCCACCAGTGACGCTGTAAACTTGGTGTCATTCTATATGTAACAAAAATACAAATGACTTACTAAATTTTGAAATCCTACCAACTAGTCACCGGAATTCTTGATTTGTTACAAAATGATCAGTTAGTCTATCAATCTAACTCAGTCTACTTAGATTGGTCGTCCAATAAAATCAGATTTACGTCTAACATGTTATTAACACTCAATCAATCAAGTCCGACGTTCAATACTTTTACAGTAATGTGAGAATTGGATAGGATTGTTATGTTCCTTCTCCCACCAATATGTTGGTATCTAACCTTTTATCATGATTCATGCAAACAAAACAAATATTACACTAGATAAATTTCATGGTACAACATGATTCAATCAATTTCATATCGACGTAATAACATTGACGTAAAACCAACTAGCTTGAGCTTGCTTAAAACTTGCAAAAGGCCGAACTTTTCTACTCTTTACAGCTGATTATCATAAGAGTACATCACAAATAGCGAGCAATGTCTTATGCGGATGTTACAATGTCACACTATGCTACAATCTCATTAGCCAAAGCCAATGAGCTAATCTCTACAACTTAAGTTAGTACAGACACCGACGGTGTGAGGAGGTCCAACCCTAATGCTCGAACATTAAGTTGGCAAGTCGAAGCTGATTCTCGAGCGGCAGGAAATCTTTCAAACATATACAGGTACAATGCATGGTACGCAATAAGAATGGCGCGATTTCCTTCTCGCTCTCATCAATAGGTTGAGTGCTGAACAAGCTATACCTGGATGTAACCCAGCTGTGCACTCGTTCCAATGATACGAAGAGATTTGAAGCGATGGATTCTGCCACAACTTCCCAATTGGGTTCCTTGAGTAGAGCAGCAAGAGTGACTGGTAGATCGCTTAGTACGGTGAATGTGTCTATGGTCAGAAAGGGCATGTATTTGCAGCAGATGCCGGATAGGAGACCGATGAATCTCAGTGCCTGCAAAGAGTAAAGGGAGAAGACTTGCTGTTCAAATGTTTCAGCACAAACACAACCATGTTTTCAATGGAAGACTGCAATTCTGATGTAAAAGTTACACATGCGAGCAACAGAAGTATTATACTCTCGTCTCATCTCACATCAATCAGGAGAGTACAGTATATAACTGTATGCTGCTGGACATTGAAGCTATAAGGTGTGTGTGAAGGACAACATAAATACCGTGGATGGATGGGTTGATACACAGCTTATTTCCACGGCATCAACTAGCCACTGTCTCTTCACACTTCCGTCTGCACGTTGCAAAGCTGCAACAACCTCGATGAGAACATTCCAAACACCTGTATCATGGAGACCCAAAGCCAGTGTGTAAAGCTTTTTTGGGAGAAGCAGGAATGCATCAAGCAAAAACTAGATACCGTTTTGGCGATATGAATTAATGAACAAAATCACAAGTGAAGCTAACCATCTGATTTGGAGTTCAACAAACTAGATTTCAGTTTTCCCAGCTCAATAAAAGGGATGGAGCCAGTTCGGGCCAGCTTTGATTTCGCATGAATCTTCTTTAGGATTCTGAAGTCCCCTTCCGTGACACTCACCAAGGGAACCTATGAGATGTAAAACCAATCAAAAGATAAGTATAGAAAATAAGAGTTCTTATATGTTTGCTCGTACAAATTGCGGCCTATCAGGTACAATCAATGACTGCATCTTTGATGCACGGCTACTATTATTACATCTGAAGCATTAATTAGAGTTCCTAGCGAAAACTTAAGGCAATATCTGACTAAAATTAGAAAATCAAAAGCGGAAACAAGATCGTCGGAAACAAGATCTTCGGAAACATATCATCTTGAAAAAGTTAGATAAAGGTGGCAAGTCTAACCTGCAGAAAATTTGATAGCCAGTTCCCTCGAGCCTTTGACAAACATCTAACAGCTTCGACCCATTCTTGAGAGGAACTAGGCCCATGATCAATAATCTCAGCAGAATCTGACGAGGGCAACAGAATAAACAGAACCTCCATGCACCGTTCAATACTAGATATACACTCTAGAGAGTCGAGGGAAGCTTCATCTAAACACTCACATACACCCTTCCAGCATGATACCCTCAAGAACCTTTTCTGAACAAGGCTGCATGCTTCATATGATGAATCAGAAGAAAAGAAGTCCATGACATCATCTAATAGAGTCAGTAGCCTAGACCCTGAGAAAACCTGTATCAGGCCAGCCAGATGACTAAGGAGGCATGATTGAAGATTCAGCTCCAGTGTCCTGAACCTTGACAGGAGAGAGAGCTCATCAAGGAATGTAAGAAGCTGATCAAATTGGTTTGCATGGGATATAGCGAAGTGCAGGCATTCCTCCCTAAGTGTTACTCTCTCAATATCTGGATCTGAGGGCATAGATTGGGAAACTTGCGCCTCATATCTCATGCAGCGCCTAATGATAATTCCCCAATCAACAGCTGGAAGCCGTGGAGCTCGTGAAAGGCATCTTAGGGCAGCAGCTGCATTGCCAACAAGAGTAACCCTCCCAGCCTGAATTCAGACGTTTGAAAGATTAATGACCATAACAAACTTTCTTCACATCAAGTACCTTTTTATAGCTAAAAAATATTTATTTTCTCATCAAATCTACTTTTTTGAAAACATAATCAAACACAATTCTTCTTTTCTTCTCATGTAACTAGTCACTAAAGTTAAAAACAAACACCCAAAC